TGGCAGAGTATTCCATGACATTGCCAGGCTGGAATACGCCGGGAGCCGGTTGGAAAGGGAAGAAGGGATGAGTTGAGAGCACAAACAGGGATTTGGGGATGGGAAAAACCATCCCCAGGGGGGTGGGAAAAGCCCAGGAATCTCCAGGATCATCCCTAAACATCCCAAGGAAAGCAGGGAGCTGATCCCAAGGCACTGTCTGTTCCCTTTTTCCTTCTCCCTCCCAAATTTGTCCCAAATGCCATTTTTATCTCCCACCAGCTCCTGGATGGGAAGCTGAGAATTCCTATATGGATTCCAAGGGGGGGGAAAAAATACATTCCAAAGCTTCCAGGAATGCATTGGCATTCTGGGATTAGGGGGGGAAAATGGGATCTCTTGGGAAGGGAAGGTTTGGGAAGGTTTGGGAAGGGAAGGTTTGGGAAGGGAAGGTTTGGGAAGGTTTGGGAAGGTTTGGGAAGGGAAGGGAAGGGAAGGTTTGGGAAGGGAAGGGAAGGTTTGGGAAGGGAAGGTTTGGGAAGGGAAGGTTTGGGAAGGGAAGGTTTGGGAAGGTTTGGGAAGGTTTGGGAAGGTTTGGGAAGGGAAGGGAAGGGAAGGGAAGGGAAAGGAAGGGAAGGTTTGGGAAGGGAAGGGAAGGGAAGGGAAGGGAAGGTTTGGGAAGGGAAGGGAAGGGAAGGTAACAAAGGGATGTCAAACACCAGGCTCCAGGTGCCACCGGATCCGGAGTCACCCACCCACTTGTTCCTGCGTCACCGGCACCGTCGGCAGCGACGAGATCTTCTCCTTGTCCGCCGGCGGAGGTCCTGTGTTTTCCAGCTGCCCCAGGAGCTGCAGAGGAGCCGGAATTCCAGGCTCAGGAATTCCCGTGGCCCTGGATCCCTCTCTCCCCCCAAAAGCTGGCACAGGTGCCCCTCACCTGGGTGACGATGGCGTCGAGGCCGCTCTGTCCCCACGCGTAATCCCCGGGATTGGAGTGCAGCATCCCGCTCCTGCCGGCGGGAGAGCCCAGGAATTCCTCCCCATCCCAAACTTCCAGGGGCTCACCGCTGGCAGCTGGGCTCATCCCGGGTTTTTTTTTTGGCTTTTTTACTCACCAGGAAAAGGGATGTTGGGAGCCAGGGACGGCCGAGTTGGCGAAAAACCCCGCGAAGATCTGCTGGATTATCCTGGAAAAAAAGGAGGAATGGGAGGGGGAAAGATGGGAAGAGCGAGTTGAGTGAATAAATAAAAGGTGGGAGCAGGGGAAAAATGGGAATTCCTGCCCCATGGATGCGTGGCTGCAGGGTTCATGATTGGAAAATCCCTGGATAAAACAGAGGGACAGCAGGAAGGATTTAGGGAAGCGAGTTCATCCCAGGGTGGGAGGACTGGGAATGCCTCGAGTTCCAATGGAAGGGTGGGCACTGGGACAGGGAAAATCAGGGAAAAACATGGGAAGAACAAGTTAAATAAATAAATTAATTAATTAGTTCATTCATCCCAGGGTGGGAGAACTGGGAATGCCTCAAGTCCCAACGGAAGGGTTGGCACTGGGACAGGGAAAACCAGGGAAAAACACTGGGAGAACAAGTTAAATAAATAAATAAATAAATGAATTAATTCATTCCAGGGTGGGAGGACTGGGAATGCCTCGAGTTCCAGTGGAAGAGTTGGCACCGGGACAGGGAAAACCCGGGAAAAACATTGGGAGAACAAGTGAAGTAAATAAATCCATAAATAACTGGTGGCAGCAGGAATAGGCAGCAACACGGGGAATCCCGTTCCCATGGATACAGGGGCTCACAGCTGGGAATTCCCTGGATAAAGCCCCGAAATGGAGGGACAGCTCCGAAGGAATCCGGGCTCATGGGAACACCGGGAATGCCCCGGCAGCAAGCCAGGGAAAGCCACTTGGAATTGTGCTGAAGGGAAGTGCCGGGATCCCTCGTTTTTCCGCCCGGGTTTCTTCCCAAATCCCATTTTTCCCTGGAATTCCCACTCACCCCTCGATGGCGGGTGAGCGATCCGGGCGGGAGCTGCCTCGGGATCGGAACCTGCGGCTCGGGGGCAGCCGGGGGGGGCGGCCGGGCCCCCACAGCTCTCCCGGGGATCCCCGATCCGGATCCCGGCCCTCGGAATCCAGGGAGCCGCCGGCGCTCAGGAACGGCCGGAAATCCGGGAAGAACATCGTGTGGTCCAAGTGGTCCCAAAGCTGCGGAGAAAGGGAGGGAAAGAAGGGGAGGTTCCTCCAGCTCCGGAGCTCATCCCGTCGGGAACGGAGGCCGCGGCGCCGGAGCGACGTTCCCGTGGTTGCCACGGATTCCGGGAATGAAAGTCCGGGAAAAAGGCTCAATTATAGCCCGACGGGATGTGGAGCCACTGGGACAACCCCCTGGAATGCCCGTTATCCCAATAAATCCAGAGGCTGTGGTGTTGGTCTCTCCCTCTTTCCAAGGGTTGGAATTTGAAGAGGGATAATCCGTGGGATCCCCCGGGGGTCTCACAGCCCCAGGGAAGGACATGGATGTGGATTTGGAAGGATCCCCCATCCCTGTGCCCCCCCCCCATCCCGCTGTTTTGTGGGATCTGTCCCTGTGGATAAAGCCATTCCCTGCCCCTGTGGTGCCTGATCCCACCTGCTCCCTGATTCCTCCAATTCCCAGCCCAGAGCCTCTCCAAGGGTGATATAAAGGAAGATCCATGGATCTCCACTCCAGAGGGTGCAGGAAAACCCCCAGGAATTCAGAGCCAGAGCCCCCATCCCCCAGGGCAACCCTCTCCCACAAATCCTTTTGGATTAAGGAATAAAAGCCACGGAATAAAGATTCTGTGTTGTCCCGCTGCTCTGATGGGATGGAGGCCACTTCCAGGCATTATTCATCCCAAAATCCAGTCTGATTTATGGAGCACGAAGCTCTGCAGGATCGGGATCCTGCTGGAGCTTGGGAATTTCTGGGATACGAAGAAATATCCAGGCAATAATTGGGATCAGGAGACAAATGGATCCAGAGGAAGAGGGGACCCAGCACGGAAGCAAACAGGAAGAATCCGGATTGGGAACAGATTGGGATCTGCATTGGAATTCTGGCTGTTTGGTGACCCCATTCCTGGTTCGGGATTGAGGGAATTTCCTACGAGTTTGGACTTCATAATGGATGGATTCCGGAAAATCTGGGAGCAGGAACAACCCCCACACAAATCCTGGGATGTGCCAGCACCAGGCTCTTCCCTAAATTCTTCTTTTCCATGTCCTGCCCATCCCTGGCGGGTCTCGACGCCAAAAGTGTCCTGAAAATTCCCCCAAATCCTGGAAACTGCCAGGAAAAGGAGCTGCCAGGGAAGATGCCTCAGGAAAACCCTCTGGATTTGGGGGAAAAAAGCAGGAAAACTCACCTCTGCAAACTGGGAGGAGGGGCTGCCATCCAGGGAACTGCCGTCGAAAAAACTGGGAAAAGCAGGAGAGTGAGGGCAGGGCCCATTCCCAAAATTCCCCTGTGCTCCCAAAAATCCCTCCTGTGCTCCCAAAACCCCCCCCCAGCCTTCCCAAATCCCTGTTTTGTTTCCCGGAATCCCCTCAGAAGGGATAAAAAAAATACAAAAAAATAGAAGAAAAGGTTAAAAAATAGAAGAAAAGGTTAAAAAATAGGAAAAAAGTTAAAAAATTACAAAAAAAGTTAAAAAATAGAAAAAAAGTTAAAAAATAAAAGAAAAGGTTAAAAATACAAAAAAAAGGTTAAAAAATACAAAGAAAGGTTAAAAATACAAAAAAAAGATTAAAAATGCAAAAATAGGTTAAAAAATACAAAAAGAGGTTAAAAAATACAAAAAAGGTTAAAAATACAAAAAAGATTAAAAAATACGAAAAAAGGTTAAAAAATACAAAAAGTTAAAAAAAATTCAAGAAAGTTAAAGAAATACAAGAAAAGGTTAAAAAAGTCCAAAAATAGCAAAAAAGGGTTTGGTTTTTTTTTTTAAATATTAAAAAGGGTGAGAAATAAAAAAAAAAACCAAAAGGGTAAAAAAATTAGGAAAAAGGGTAAAAAATATAAGAAAGGGTAAAAAAAATGAAAAAGGGTAAAAAATTATGAAAAAGGGTAAAAAAAATACGAAAAAGAGTAAAAAAAAAATACAAAAAAAGGGTAAAAAAAAATACGAAAAAGGGTTAAAAAAAGAGCAAAAGGTTCAAAAAAAGAGCAAAAGGGGGGGGGGAAAAAGACCAAAATATGGCATTTTTCCCACTTCATCTCCCTCTTGTCTCTCCACGTGCCCAGCTCTGGGATATCCCTGGATTTTCCGGTACCTGGAATCATCAGTGACTTCCTCGATGAAGCCGGACTCGCAGCGGGGGCAGGTGTATTCCTGGGAAGACAAGGAGTTGGGATTAGCCATGGAATACTTGGGATTCCAGGGAAAAACAGCCCCCTCCCGGGAAGATTCCCGATCCTGGCTGTCAAGCAGCTCATCCCTTCTGATCCCAATCCCAATCCCAAGGGATTTGGGTGCTCGGGAGCTGTAGAGCCAATGGGAGAAAATTCCTTCAGAGGGGAAAAGTTTTCCCTGCTGTCATTCCCAGAGTTCTGTCCTAGAGCTGTGGATTGCCTTGAATTTGGGGAAAAACATGGAAAAACCCAAAAGCTTCCCCCCCTCCTTCCCCCCTGGATTCTCTCTCCCAGATTTTTCCCTCCCTGGATCCTGTCCCACAGCTGGAGCATTCCCAAATCCCACCCTCTTCCATCCAGAACCGATCCCTGCCGGATCAGAACATTCCTTTCTTCTTTTCCAGGAAATCCCAGATGCCATCCCCCCCCCCAAGCATTCCCAAAGTCCGCCTTTCTCAGTTTTGTGGGATCTCCATCCAAACCCTTCCTTGTGCGCTTCCCAAATCCGTCCCCATCAGAATCCCGGGAGCCTCCAGGCCCAAATCCTCCTCTGGAGGAGGTGGGAAGCAAAGCCCAGCCCCCACCCTGGCTGCTCCAGCTCCTTCCTGTGGATTCCCAGATGGATCAGATTCCGGAGCCGGTGCAGGTGACACCTCCTGGTAACCCAACCCCGGCAGCTCCGGCTTCATCCACGGATTCTGTTGCTTCCAGGAGACTCCAGCTCCATTTTTCCAGCCCCAGCCCCTGTTCACCTCTGGATCCTTATCCCACAGGATCTGTATTTCCTTGGGAATACGCAGGACCATCCCCACACCTCAAACAGCCTTGCTTTCCCAGTTTTTCCCTAAGCAAAGCACCTCATTCCAAACTATCCCACCTCAATTCCCACCACCACACCCCGATCCAGAGTTATCCCATCCCAATTCTGACCATCCCACATCATTCCAGACTATCCAAACGTTTGGCTCTTCCCAGACTCCCTTCCCTTCCCTTCCCTCGTTCCCAGCCTTTTCCTTGCCCAAAAACTCCCCTGACCCAAACCAGGGAATTCTGGGCTAAAAAAAGGGTGGTTTGGGGTTGGGATTCTCCAAGGACAAACCCCTGGGAAGCAGTTTTCAGGTGGGATCCAGGAGGTTCCAGAAACAGGAACTGGAGCAGGACCGGGCAGAGGATCCCAGGAAATGGAATTCCAGGTGTTTCAAGGAGCAGGGCCGGAGTTTTCCTCCCGGGATAAACAAGAAATGTGATGGAAGCACCAGGAAATCCTGGATTTTGGGGATGGAGGGGTTGGGAGAGGGACTTGGACAATGTTTCCTTCAAAAAAAAGCGGATTTGGGAACGCTGGAGGGGGAAAAACGGATCCTTTGGGGTGGGATAAAAGGAGTTAAGGAAAATTTGGGATGCTCCCAGTCGCAGGGAATAGGAACTGGGAAAATTTAGGAGCAGGTTGGCAATTCCCACCCTGTCAGGATGCGGGGACCGCTCAGGGAGCGGGATGGGAATGGGATTATCCCAAATCCCAGTCTGAGAACTGGGATGGGGGGCGGAGGGGGGGCGGGATTTTGGGGTCGCCAATCCTGTTCCGTGGGGGGATTTTGGGGTCGCCAATCCTGCTCCGTGGGGGGATTTTGGGGTCGCTCCGTCCCTGCAGGTTCGGGAGGTTTTAGGGGGGGTCCAGCACGGGGAGGAGGGAGGATGGGGAGTCCCCCCCTTGGCTGAGGGGTCCCTAAAGGGATTTGGGGGGGCTGGAGGCACTGAAGGGTCGGGCATTGGGGGGGGGGTCACCCCTTCCTGCAGGGATTTGGGGAGGGTCACCCTTGAGGGAAGGGAGGAGGGGTCACCCCTTCCTCTGAGGGCTCAGGGAGGGACTGAGGGGTCACCCCCGCCTGCCGTACCCTCCCACCTCCCCCGGCCCGGGACTCACAGGCAGCTCGGAGCTCCCCCGAGTCCCCCTCCCGCCCGGGGCTCACCGGTAGCTTGGGGCTGACCTCGCCCTTGCAGCTGTGGCAGAAGAACCGGTGCTGCGGCACCGCCGCCGCCTCCGCCATCTTCGCCCGCCGTCACTCCTCCGGGGGGGGCCACAGAGCGCGGCCCAGAGCGGCCCCGCGCTTCCGCTCAGCTCGTCTGCTCCGCTCCCACCGCGGAGAGCGAGGGCGGGAGGATAGAGCGGCCCGGCGGGGTAGTGGCGTGCAGTGCGCCCCCTGCTGTGGGGTCTCCCGAGGAGGGACGGCGGCAGCGGCGGCGGCGGAAGTGGCGGAAGCGGAAGTGGAGGGGAAGCGGAAGTGGCCGTTGCCATGGCGGCGGTTGCGGCCTAGGCCGGGCCTGGGGGTGAGAGCGGGGAGGGCCCGGGACCCCTGAGGGAGGGAGGAGGGGAGATCCCACCTGGAGAGGGGCGGGAGGGGCACCGGGATCCCTGTGACACGGCTGATTCCCCCCAGGAGGGGACATAGAGAACCCCGGGGGGGGTCAACATCTGTCCCCTCTCTGTCACCCCCCAGCTGTTCTTTCCCCACCACGTTCCTGGGATTCCTGGGGGCCGCCGGGATGACGCAGGCGGAGCTGCGGCTCTGCTCCCTGCTGCTCCAAGAGCACTTCGGGGAGATCGTGGAGAAAGTCGGGAATTCCCTGCTCCGGACGGGCCCGCGGCCGCTGCGGCTCCTGGTGGGCGACACGGGGCTGCTCCTGGATCAGGTACGGGATGGGAGGAGGCCAGAGGGGGAAACCGGTGGGAAAACTTGGAGAAGGACGAGGAATATTTGATAACAGTAACTCAGAGAGTTTTCTGGAGTGGAGGTTTGTATCTCCCTGGAAAACTTCTTTGGAAAGGAGGAGAGAAACTCTGAGGCTCTGTAGGGAGGAAAGATGGGGATAAACCGGTGGGAAAACGTGGAGAAGGACTGGAATTTGTAATGAGATAAATCAGGAGTGGAAGGTTCGTGTGTCCCTGGAAAACTTGAGGAAGAAGGAAAGAAACTGGTGTCGAGAGCAAAATAATCCAGGGATAGGGATAGATGGGAGGGAGAAGGACAAGACATTTCGAATGAAATAAATCAGGAAGGGGGAATTTTTCCGGAGCGGGAGGTTTGCGTTCCCCCGAAAAGGAAGGAGGAGGGAAATTCGGATTCTCCGGGAGGAAAACGGGGAATCTGGGCAGGGGAAAAGTGAGATTCCCAACCTTCCCGCTCCCTCCTGCAGGTGAAGAAGGCCCTTTGTGTCCTGCTCCAGCACGACCTGGTGCGGTACGAGGTGCAGCCCCGCGGCTCCGTGGAATACGAGGCCCGGAGCGAGCGGATCCTGCGGATCCTGCGCTACCCCCGCTACATCTACACGGCCAAGACGCTCTACGGGGACCCCGGGGAGCTGCTGGTGGAGGAGCTGCTGCTCCACGGCCACCTCTCCATGAGCTGCGCCGTCGCCAGGGTGGCCGACCGCCTCACCGAGACCATGGAAGGTGGGAGGGAAGCTCCTGCCTGGAAAAAAAAGCGGAGCGGGTTTGGGAATGTGGGAGCAGAGGATTTGTGGGGTGTTCGTGGTAAGGTCGTGGTGGTGGCCACGGTGTTGCCATGTGCTCCAGAGCCTCAGGAACATCCTGGATCCGGCTGATGGAGACCATGGAGGGTGGGAAGCACCTCCTTGGAAAACTA